GCACGCACTCTCGAACTCACACACACACGCACACACACACACACGCCCTAAAAAAACACTCACTTAAACAAACAGAAATCGAATCAGCACAGACATAAACGTGTGGAGACAGACACAAACAGCACTGGTGCTAAAAACAATGAGTTTCTTTAAAGTTCAATAAAATGCCCCTTCTGAGACTCTTTATGTGAAACCTACAAAAAGCGAGATTTTAAAACTCTTCAGTTTCAGTGGAATTATTTTGGCAATGCCAGATACAAACATTTGACCTTGACTTCAAGTACTAAAAATGCATGTAAACTATTTAACTTCCCTTCATGTAAACTACTAAAAGGCTACTGTAAATACTGTCAGAAAGAGAGTCAACTCAAGCCATTGCGTTTAGCTGCTTGTCCATAAAATCTGAGCACAAGAATGAGAGTCGCGGCAGATAAACAACCGAAGGTGTCATTACGAGAAAATCACCTACAGTCTCTGCAAGTACACAAGCACAGGCCAAACGTTAATTCATGTCATGAAGATGACTCACAGACAGTGAGTCTCACTGATACATTAAAATAAAGAACATGCATTTGAACCATTTACAACTAACATTTATATTTAAACACACACACACACACACACGCCCTAAACAAACACTCACTTAAACAAACAGAAATCGAATCAGCACAGACATAAACGTGTGGAGACAGACACAAACAGCACTGGTGCTAAAAACAATGAGTTTCTTTAAAGTTCAATAAAATGTCCCTTCTGAGACTCTTTATGTGAAACCTACAAAAAGCGAGATTTTAAAACTCTTCAGTTTCAGTGGAATTATTTTGGCAATGCCAGATACAAACATTTGACCTTGACTGCAAGTACTAAAAATGCATGTAAACTATTTAACTTCCCTTCATGTAAACTACTAAAAGGCTACTGTAAATACTGTCAGAAAGAGAGTCAACTCAAGCCATTGCGTTTAGCTGCTTGTCCATAAAATCTGAGCACAAGAATGAGAGTCGCGGCAGATAAACAACCGAAGGTGTCATTACGAGAAAATCACCTACAGTCTCTGCAAGTAAACAGGCACAGGCCAAACGTTAATTCATGTCATGAAGATGACTCACAGACAGTGAGTCTCACTGATACATTAAAATAAAGAACATGCATTTGAACCATTTACAACTAACATTTATATTTAAAGTATGCACACTGCTCCTAGTCTTAAAAACCAACATGAAAAAAGTGTGGATTATTTTTTTAAATTTTTTTAACTAAGTTTACATTTTTAAATTTAGTATTTTTGCCATATCACCCAAATATTCACTTTAACCGACTGCCTAATACCACAAGCACAGGCCAAACGTTAATTCATGTCATGAAGATGACTCACAGACAGTGAGTCTCACTGATACATTAAAATAAAGAACATGCATTTGAACCATTTACAACTAACATTTATATTTAAAGTATGCACACTGCTCCTAGTCTTAAAAACCAACATGAAAAAAGTGTGGATTATTTAAAAAAAAAAGTTAAACTAATTTTAAATTTTTAAATTTAGTATTTTTGCCATATCACCCAAATATTCACTTTAACCGACTGCCTAATACGATGTCCTGTCACATTCAATTACTAAATACATTACATGAACCACAGAAACAATAAAGGTTTTTCGATTCAAAATGATGAAATTTGACATTATTTTTGCGAACTGTAAAGCCCACTTTCTTTGATTTGATTGGCAACTCAATCATTTTGACGAGCGTTCTAGACCGCTGAAGCAGACCAGACTAAAAATGTAACTCTTTAAACTTCTTGTCATCCTAACATCAAACAGAGCAGCATCAAGGATATCAAATGTATTATATGACAATTTGGCCATGTCTAATTATTGCGGTGCACTGACTTACTGTCTTGTGTGATTACATAAATATGCAGAGACAGAGAAAGACAGACGTGGAGTGACTGAAGGAAAACACCCTTCGTTTGTAATCATCAGCGTCGGCGTGCACAGCATGTCTTCACTAACTGATGTTTTACACCCTTATGTAAACATCTAAGCATGCGGCATGTTCGACAGCACAGATGACATCCAAATAATAGAGAGACACGCATTATTCGTCAGAAATGAACATGCTCTTAAGAGTACAAACAAATGCTTTACTGCCTTAGTTCCAATGTCTAAACACTTACTAAAAACATAGCAAATATAGAAAATCTCAGCTGCTCGATTGCTTGTATTATAAACTCTATTATTGCACAGCACTAATCTGCTAAATGTGACTATAATGCATGAAGATATTAGGTTATTAAAAACATTAGCATCATGGTTTTCTGTAAAGCTGCTTTGAAAAAGAAAAGGATATTGTGAAAAGTGTTATACAGATAAAAATGTTTGTGCAATTGTCAGATTATTACACACTATTTACAACAATATGACTCATTTACGAAAAATGCTATTTGTTTGGAGTCATGGCCTAGTGGTTAGTGTGATCTAACCATTTTATGATCCAATTTCCTTGTCCTCTCTATCCTATATAGTACTGTAAATGCAATGGCAAAAGGCCTCCGTATGCAGTATTAAATTGTATTAAATAAACTAATCTGTCTTTATGTCTTTATGTAATCCAGTTTTACTGGATTGCATGTTTGGGAATCCTCTTTGAAGACATTAGTCTCTTTGAAAACATTGCTGTTGGTCATTACTATTTTATTGATATCATTAAACACTAAATGTTTAGCTACTCCTTACCTCACACTCGTTCACCATTACAACTAAATCGTTGCACTGGAATTCATATTAAGTATCTGTGAACAATAAAACCTGCTTTTTTTTATTTGACTGGCATCTCAATCACTTTAACAACTTTAACTTTTTTTTCTGGCCTTGTGGTTAGTTAGTTAGTTAGTTAGTTAGTGTGATCTAACTAAATATCTGATTCATTCTCCTCTCCTGTCTGTATTTTACAGTAAGTACAAAGGCAAGACTTTTTGTTACTGCCATATGTAATATTAAATAAATAAGAACTGGTGCGACTCAGTTTTTATGTAATCCATTCTCACTGGATTGTAGGTTCAGGAATCCTCTTTGAAGACACTGATTGGTGATGCCAGTGGTGCAGAAATGACTCACTTCAGCTTTAAACATGGACCCGGCTGCAGCCAGCATGAAGAGAGGAAATAAATATTGTTAAATGGGGCTGTCAGCTTTGATTGCATCACGGCGAACGTGCTGCCATTGATCAAACCCCTGCCTACCTCTCATCAGACATCTGCTCGGACCACCAGCGAACTCTGTTTACGAAAGCCCGCGGCAGACACGCAGCCGTCCTCCCCTAGCGGCTTGAGTTTCTTCAGTCAAGAGGCCAAACAACGACTTGATTTTCCCCAAACCGGCCATTGAGCGATGACTCAAATGTCATAACTCACTCCTGTTTTTCACTTACCTAAATTTGTTGTGACAGGGAAGCTGTCTGTTAAAGAAACTGAGAAAGGGGGGGCTCTGTGTGACTCTTCCTTTAATGCAATTATAAAAAAGATGATGGAATAATGCATTGAGTGACTGGGTCAAGCAGGTTGAAACCCGCCAGAGATGACAACAAACGGTGCTCTAATATACTTACAATAAAAGCGACAGGTTGGCATTCATTGTAAACCTGAACGGTGTTATGAAACATGCCCCGCGAGTGACTCTTGTTTTCATAAGCCATCTCGCTCACGCACGCACACCCTCAGCGAAGTGTGAACCATTGAACCGTTTCTACGCATGTGGCCGTTTCGTGCAAAGCCCATGTTTCCATGCGTTCACCTGAAGGGAGTTCCTGACGCTGTTTGCACGCAGGCCTCTTTGTTGCTGTGGCTGCATTTTTGTCTTGTGCTTCTCCCTCCCCTCGTGTTTTGAAAATAACCCAAACAGGTTCTGCGTGTAGTAACTGTGATATTATCTAAGCCGCCTTCACCTGCAGGGGATCCCAGTTGAGTCTGCACGAAAGAGGTCTGGGGCCAAACAAGAGGAGCAGCACCCAGACAAGACCGGCCCTGCTGACACCTCCGACTCGAGCCCGATACTTCGAGCGCCAGTTTCACCCGGCGACGCTTTGCGGTCGGATTCGGGACCTCTGCTTTTGATTGTGATTGACAACTGCGCAAACATAGCAACAAAAATAGTCATCTTTCAAGCTCGGAGTGCTGCGTTGGCATGTGAAGGGTGTAACTGTTTACTCTGATGACTTTGGTTTTTGCACTTCAGATCTAAAATAGATGAACTAGGCCAGGAACGCAAAGCTGTTATAGCTCTTAGAAAAACAAAATGTAGTGTTGGATTTACTTTGAAACTCAGAAATTGCTAAATTTCACAAATAATTCCGTAGAAACAAGAAGTAACATTGAAATAAATGTGAAATTTGAAAGTAGAATTTTCTTGTAAAACGCACTCCAATAATCTTCGAAAAGTCATTATTTACAGTCCATGACTAGTCAAATACTTCTTTCTTTATTTTGCTATCTTTCTTACTATAAATAAATCACTTAAGGCCAGATTTACTAACACCCTGCTCCAAACCTTTTGGCATTTAAAAACTACTTTCAGGATTTACTAAAGACACGGAGTGAAAATTTTTTGCAGCTGAACTCATAGCATATCCATTTGTAGGAGTTTCACTTTAAGGGTATGTTTACACAACAACGATGTACTAAAAATGGAAACATATTTCCTTAGCATTTTTATATACAGTATATAGATGACAACTTTGTCAAAATTATCCCCATTCACAGGGATCCATGAAAATGTCTAAAAACGCATGCATGCCACGCCAGTAGTTTGTGATGTTGTCACTTTGTAAAGAAACACTACACGTTTGTGCACATGCCTATAGACTGAACATGTAATATGCATACGCATGACAGCACTGCTTTCATAAATTCACATTTTCGTAGTTTACACAGAGGCGATAACAGTATAATTTTCAAAAAACTTGCATTTTGAAACCCTTTTTCAAAAGTTTGCACTTTTAGGCTCCCAAAACGCAGTTGTTGTGTAAATGAACGGTCAAAACTAATAAAACGTTTTCCGTTTTTGTTGAACACGTCGTGTAAATGCCCCAATCTTTCAGTTTTGCTGCCATTCTGGATTGCATGAAGAATAGGAAAGAAGAAAATTCATCACTCTTCATCAATGAAATGAAACACAAAAGTAATTTTTGCTTATTAGTATGGTTGAATTGGATCATAAAATTCAGCAGCAAAGACATTGGTTAATAAAATGGGATTAAATACATAAATTACATTTGTGTTATTTAACATATGTAAATATTGCAGGTTTACGTCCTATTCTGAGTTTGCATTTCAAAGTTTTTATTCATTTTGAGGAATGCTGAATCTGTTTTTGTGCGAGTCAGATGAGTAAATGCATGTTCTCATTTAGTCCAGATCTACTGTAACATCATGTTCACACAGCGCACAGAACGCATCTGCACTCACTCCTGATTCTCTCAACATGAGGACAGGAGAGCTGTCAGTCAATACATGAGAAAACAAAGTAACTGGCATTACTTGTTTGAAAAAGTAACTCTGATATTTTCTTGTAAATTAAAAAGAAATGTGATACTTTACCAGTTACTTGAAAAAAGTAATCTGATTACGTAACTCACATTACTAGTAATGTGTTACCCCCAACACTCTGCACGACATAAGCTGAATTAGGAAATATACTATGTAGTTATATCTACATAACTCACAATAAATGTCCTTGGTCTTCTCAAAAATGACTAGATCTTATGAAAATATGGCTACATAAACTGAGGTGAAGAAGTTCATGTAGTCTAGATCGATGGGTCTTTTGTGAAAATCGCCATTGTTTTTTAAATCCAACAGAATAGGAAAGCTTTCTGTTTCTGAACCATCGTTTGACTACAACGGCTGGATTTACCAGCCATTGAGCTGCTATGCCTGGAGCAGATGGACCGCTCGCTGGAGGACCATACCAGGGACTTTTAAAATCTGGCATGCCTTATGCACTTCCCTGACCGCTCACTTTGTGTTGTTTACTATACCAGCCTGAGCCAGCGGTCTAAAGCACGCCTGCCAGCTGAAGATCCCAAGGAGAATTTCTCCGCATTTGTGGAGTGGTCTCTGGAGAAAAATGGATTATATTTCTCCTTATGCCCCACTGAGGACATCTCCAGCCCCACTCCCGATCCAGAGCCTAGCCAGCGGTCACTATCATCCTGCAGCACGGAGCATTCATCAGAGCCCACCGCGCGATCGACGAGCTATCTCAATCAAGAGCTACAGAGCGGATCACCCCCCTTGGAGCCAGAGCCTCAAGACACATCTGACCAGGTGCATGAGCCGGCAACAACGTATATCACTGTGGGAGTCCTCGTGGAGATCGAGCGAATGGATTGGGACCATGTCCACACTCCCACCACTGAGGGTGAGCTGACGGCTGGCCTCTGAAACATTTGACTGTTTAAATGAAAAGGATTTTTTGCTTCTGGTCCCACCAAGCTCTCCTTCAACTCCTGAATCCTCCGCTGGTTCTGGCAAGGTCTTCTTCGTCGGCCAACTCCTCATCTCCAGCCTTAAGGAGGGTCCCACCCAGCCTCCCACTCCCTCCTTCTCTATCTCTGCCAGCCAGTCCATCGGCCTAGTCTGGGTCAGATGGGTCAGATGTGCTTCAGGATCTCCATTTGCCAGCTACCTCAGGGTCGGAGGGTCAGCTGTCTCCACTTCCAGTCTCACTGACCTGGACTCCACATCGGCCCTCCGACTCATCGGGTCCGCCTTGGCTCCTGACTCCACTGTTCCCCATCATCCCACTGGCTCTGTTGTCCCTCTGGCTCCTCCTTGGTCAGTCATCAACCTTCCTCCGCTACAGGATTCCACACCTCTGGCCTCGTCTCATCCCTCTGGCTCCATCTGGCTCCTTCTTGGTCCTCTGTCGCTCCGGATCCACGACGGTCTTCTGGATCCTCACCTCGACCTCGGTTGCCTGAGTGGTCTGCTCAGCCTTGGCCCTCAGGAACCTCGGTGTCACCCTGGCTCTGCAGCTCTCTGTCTCCATCCTGGGCTCCTCTTCCACATTCTCCATCTGTCAGCCACCTTGTGTCGCCAGCCCTCCTCCACCGTAGGCTGCTGTCCTGGCTGTGGTCTGGATCTCCGCCTGGCTCCTCCTACTCCGGGCTTCTCCCTGGCTCAATGAACTGTCCCCTTTTCCCATTGCCTGTCTCAAGCCTGCCTCCTGAACCCCCACCCTCCCTCCACAGTTGGACTTGTCGGCGCGAGGACGCGCCTTTTCGGCAGGGGGTGAAATGTCACGTTTATGTTCTGTTCCATTTTGGTTTAGTTTTCTCAGTATTTCTGTTCCCCTGCATTAGTTCCCTAGTTTGTTCCCTTAGTTGTTATTTGGCTCCACACCTGTTCTGTTTTCATATTGATTACGTTCCCCATGTATTTAAACCTTGTGTCTTCCTCGGTTCAGTGTCTGTTATTGTTTTGTATTACGGATGTTCTTGTTTTCTCCCGGTAGGTTTATTAAAATATCTTACTTGGACTCTACTCCTTCGTCGTGCGCTCTTTATGCTTGACAGCCCATAACAGTAGCGCTTCTCAATGAGAATGAATTTTCAATGAGATCTCATTCACTGAGCAGACAGAAAACAAGCGTTCTGCTTTGCATTAGCTTCCCTTAACTGTGCATTTGAATCTAATTGACATTGCATAAGCTGCCGTGGTTTTGGGAGTGAGATAAGATTGTTGGTATATCATCGCATGCCGCGTTCAAACCGTACACTTCGATTTTGCCATAATGGTCGACATTGTGACACTTCAGCATCCAGACAACTGTATGCAAACAAGCGTGAACCTATCAACGTTCAACAGGTCACTGGGTTTGGCGTTGCCTACAGAAGACAATGGATCTCCAGACTAACAGAAGATGTAAAGAGAACGAAGCCCATTCAAAGAAATATCACATCAGATAAAACACTTGACTTTGGTGTTATTGAAATCACCTCTTTGGCAAACACTTTCGCTTTTTCTCATTTGTGGCTTCGCTGCAAATGAACCTTTCAACTCTGTGAAAAATAAATGGCGATGCTGTAAATAACCTGGACGGCTTTGTGTGGAACAGGCTGCTGCCTGCTGAAGTTTCTATTTTGGTTGTGTTGTCTTCTCACCTCAGGGCTGCGGTAAACAATCTGTCAGAGCAGGTGGAACAAAAATGCACCGGTACCGTCAATTAAGATCGCGAGAAACCAAGTTCATGTGCAGGTGAGGAGAAGCACAGTGTTCCTTCCTTCATTTCTGTGCCAGCTGTAATTGCTGTCTTTGATGGGTTTCATTATAAAGTAACGAGTCAAGCCTCGATCTTCTAAAAAAAAAAAAAAAAGTTGCACACAAATATAAAAGTGCAAAATGTCAATGTGAGTTTGGATTCATATTGACTTTAATGGGGAAAAAATAACACCTAAAGACTGATATTATTGTGGCACTTGTTGCGTTGCACTGCAATTATTGCATGCTAAAATTAAGCAAGCACTTAGCAACCGCACAGCAACACACTAAACACCTTAACACACCTTAACCACATTGAAACAGCCTGGCAACCCAAAACACACAAGTATCGTGATCATGAGTTTTGCACAGACATACACCACATTCTTCAGAAAATGCAACAATCTTGTCTTAAGTAGCTTGCAGGTGGGATGCTGCTTCCAAATGACTGGTAGTAGGTCACAGTGGAGCAATATTAAGTGCAATATCACAACTTTTAATGTGGTTTATTGTGATAAATATAATGTTTATGTAAGCAGAGGGATTGTAATGAGGGTTGAAACACTGTGTGAAAATTATTCAGACTGTAAAAAGAGCCTACCTCCCCTTTTCATATTTAATTCAAGTATTGCATCATTTAATTACATTAATAAAAACAACAACAACAACAACAGATTTTTGTGATATATTGCATTACATTCCAGTAAATTCACACATAAAAAAAGAATAAATGGCAAATGCATAAAAAAATCTTATTCAGTATTTTTGTTATTATTATTATTATTATTATTATTATTAATGATAATAAAAAAACACTGAACAAGACTAATTTGCTTGGAACACAAAATTAGTTTCTAGTGAAAATATCTTGAATTAAATTAATTTTTCCTGCTGAATTAGCAATATATTCATTTTCTTATTTTAAGAGTGAAAACATTTAGTGGAACGGGTGTGAAAAATTACTTTTATTCAAGATATATT